GAATGCTTTATTCTTGGAGTACTTTTAATAACAAACTAGGCCCAGAGAGAGAATGAGAGAAAGAGAGTATCAGAATACTATGTATCTATGAATAAATTTTCTTGCCTTTCCAAATCGCTTAACTCTTTCAAAATAGGGTATTTGACTCTATTTGCTGCAACCCGAACGCATAATACTTCGAAACTGTGCCGTCACTGTCGCTGTCTGTTCCTTTACAGGCTGTCGCCACTTACGCTTCAATGCACGGTTGGACGGTCCGTGAAGAGTCCATTTCTCTGGGTTTTTGGTGTCCGTGTTGGCGTTGGTGTCGGTGTTGGTGGCGATGGCGACGGCGATGGCGATGGCTGTCTGACTGTTCTTGCCAATGCCTCATTGATATGCGAATCGTTCGCAAAAAGTTCAAATTAAAAACACTCGACTGTGTGTTTTGCACAGCCACTAGAACCGATAAGCTGGACTATGCTAAAAAGTTGCGGAAATCGATATTATGCAGAAGTAAGTCATTGAGATAAGCCCAGCAAGCTGTTGCGCACTGGGCCGAGCAAAGTTGAAGGCCCAAAGACACGCACTTTAAACACCACTTGACAAATTTCCCGTGTGCCGCAAAAGTTTGCTAAACTTTGTCCTGCATGAAGAGACGAAGACAAAATGAAAACAAAAAAATTTCAAGCAAATACCAAAAACCCCATATAAACACGTTGAGCCAAACTTTTGTTGACGTATATTTCACATGGCTAATCGCCAGATTCCCCAAGCAATATACGAAACAAAACACAAACACACAACCGCTTAGCACAGGTGCAAAACTTAACAGTACTTGCGATAGATATAGGAAGTGATAGTCATGGATGGGATTGGGGTTGGGCTTTGGAAACTCGATTTCGTCTCTCATTAAAAAATAAAATAAACAAGCAAAAGTTTCGAAATCAAATGTGAATAAAAACAGAACAAAAACCGAGAAGCGAAACATGAGAGAGACACCAAAGAAAAAACAAGAAAACCACTTGAGCAAGTAGCAAAACTTTTCCATTTATAACGAGCTCTGTGCGGTGTACTGTGGGTGCTGTATAAGTATCTCTATATGTATAGTACATAAGTATACTATACATACATATATGTATATACACACACATAAGTATATACATTTGTGTGTTTGTCTGTAGAAGTCAAAACACAAATAGAAATGTGCGCAGAGTGCAAAATAGAAAGAAATGCATTGCTATGTTGTATGTGCTTGTATGTTGGCAAAACTTTAAATGCGCGATAATGAAATTGTTGGCAGCAAATATTGTCAGTCAAGTCAACACACATACACACATACAAACACACACACACATGCACATGAACATATATGTATAAAGCTACAAAACACATCTGCCGCTTTTCTAGCCATCATCAACACCATTTTATGATGCGCATCCGCCACAGCAAAGTCAGCAACGGCAGCAGTTTTTCTATACTGCGGAAAAATCCAAAAACTTATCCCACGGCATTTGGGAATGTGACCAGAGCAGGCATTGGCCAAAAAAGGCAAAAAGGAAAACCAAAAAAGAAAAAAAGTACAAAAACCACACTGTTACGTTCTGAGACCGACTTTTGCGTCATAGGCGTTGCCTCTGCTGGCAACACATATTTTCGAAATTTTATTATAATGTCGATGGGTTTATTCCGCCATCAACTGAACACTTAGCCTTTTAGTTTTATGCTGTGCAAATCTGAAGCAGCCAATTTCGAGACCTTAGCAAGATTGTTGTCGAGACATCTTTACTACTTCTGTGGTCACTAAGTGGCTAATGAGGGATAGTATCCAACAAGCTCGTAAATCTAAGATTTTTTAAACCGAATTTGTGTGGCTTCACGGATATTTATTCCACACACAGGCTAGACATTGGCCACTTTTTAAGGCATTAGAATATACAATAGTACAAAACAATGTTATTTATTTTACAAAACAATGCAAACTTGTATTTAAAAATAAAATAATTTAAGTTTTTTTTAATGGGGACGGATTCCCAGAAATTGAAGAACATCAGTTTCTATTTATTTATTTATTTATTATTTTATGATGCTCCGTTGCTTTAATTCTTAGAATTTTAAATTAAATCCACACATCTATCTATCAATTCATATATACTTGTATATTCATACATCTATCTATCCAACCATCAATCTGTCCATCTATCTATCTATCTATCTATCTATCTATCTATCTATCTATCTATCTATCTATCTATCTATCTATCTATCTATCTATCTATCTATCTATCTATCTATCTATCTATCTATCTATCTATCTATCTATCTATCTATCTATCTATCTATCTATCTATCTATCTATCTATCTATCTATCTATCTATCTATCTATCCATCCATCTACCTATCTATCTATCTATCTATCTATCTATCTATCTATCTATCTATCTATCTATCTATCTATCTATCTATCTATCTATCTATCTATCTATCTATCTATCTATCTATCTATCTATCTATCTATCTATCTATCTATCTATCTATCTATCTATCTATCTATCTATCTATCTATCTATCTATCTATCTATCTATCTATCTATCTATCTATCTATCTATCTATCTATCTATCTATCTATCTATCTATCTATCTATCTATCTATCTATCTATCTATCCATCTATCTATCTATCCATCTATCTGTCCATATATCTATCCATCTATCTATCCATCTATCTATCCATCTATCTATCCACCTATCTATCCATATATCTATCCATCTATATATCCATCTATCCAGCTATCTATCCATCTATCTATCCATCTATCTATCCATTTATCTATCCATCATATACCCATCTATCTATACATCTATCTATCCTTCTATCTATCCATCTATCCATCTATCTATACATCTATCTACCCATTTATATATCCATCTATCTACCCATCTATCTATCCATCTATCTATCTATCTATCTATCTATCTATCTATCTATCTATCTATCTATCTATCTATCTATCTATCTATCTATCTATCTATCTATCTATCTATCTATCTATCTATCTATCTATCTATCTATCTATCTATCTATCTATCTATCTATCTATCCATCTATCTATGCATCCTCCTATCCATTTATGTATTTGAACCTTATATTTTCCTTTCTATATTTTTAGTGTTAATCCCACAGTCTCCTTAAATCGTACTTATTTTTTCTGCCACACATCGCCGTCACATTCCTCTTCTACACGAGAGAAAGTATGTATTGTAAACTTTTCTTAATTAATCAGGTTTCACATTTTCTTTTAATCTGCTCAGCGCTGTATCTCTCAGTCACGATATACCCTAATTAAGGAAACTTTGCAAACTTTAAATTTCTTAGAGCTTTTAAATTAAAGTTCTCACTCAACGTTCCTTGAAATCCCATAGCGTTAATTTTTTCGCTGTTTAACCCACGACATCAACTGTCCCCTGCCATGGCAGCCCAAACTGTGGTGCCTGCAGAGCATTTAACCAAGCGATGGATTTCGCTTTGTACCGTCGAGTGCGAAAAGTTCGAAGCCTGCGCTTAACTTTTTTGCTCTGAATAAAGTCACATACCAATACCACAACAACAACTACTGCATTAGCAGCTGCGCCAACTTCCATGTACGGCTTTTACGTTGTTTAAAATGTTTTCCGCTTGAAAATTAACTGGCAACGGAATTTGTTGGTCGGCCACTATTTGTTTAAACTAATTAAAAGGCATGTAAAAAGTTATGTGGATTGGCTTAATATGGTATATATTTTTTAACTGAGCATTGGCTCGCGGCTTAATGCAGTTAACAAGTTGAACAGTAGCGGTGTAGTAATTGCACTAATGACATGTAACCGACACTAATCAACAGGCCTCGCCCGAACGGTCGCAAGTCAATTAGCCGCGAATGTAACGCCTCATGACTCACCCTCGCCATGGCTTACTTAATCAGCAGCGATAATTATCGACGCATTTGCATAAATTAAGCTCCGGAATTAATGACGTACTAATTTGGGGCTTTCATCACGTTACCCTTGACTTGTACAGCAAATTTGATTCGAAAAACACAATTCAGAAGCAACTATCGACAGCATTGCATGCAATTAAAAAACGAACATATATTATTTTTGTAATTGTAAATTTTAAGTAATGATTCTTAAGAAAAAATGCTCCTGTCGCGATCAATGATGATTTGTGCGCCCTACATTGGGCGCCTATTGCGCAACGGCAACGATACTAAGCTCAATTTGACTCTGGGACCTACGAAGCCCCAGTGTTTCCGGCGTATGATGTGCGAATGGCGTAATCTGGCCCAAAGCGATAGTAAATATTTCTGAATTGCTGTGTTAAATCTACAACTACAGACTCAACTGGCTTGGTATCTCTGCAGGTGCGCGTGTTGTTCCAAAGAATAAGAAGAAGAAGAAGAAGAAAAATTGAATGAAAATCGAGAGACTACTGGCAGAAACCTTCCACGATATTTTTTTTTTTTTTTTTTTTGAGCAATTAATGCATTGGACGAGTAAATAAACATGTTATTTAATTGATAGTGCTTGTGTTGATTCAGATAACTGGGAGGCTGTATATGTAGTTATTCGATGGATTAAACGATGGTGAAAGAGACTGACTATGAATTAAGAAATCCAAATATTGTTTTTTTTATTACTATCAATTTTAATAATATGAATGACTGATATGAATATTCATTGATAGACAACATTTTGAATAAAGCAGTATTGAGCGAAATCAAGTCCATCGATCGGAACCCATCAGAATGTACATATAAGAATATTTCCAAAGCAATATTCTGTAAATATATTACACTATTTAACTTTGTATTTCTGGCCTAGAAAGCGCTTGATTCAAGGAGAGGTACTCCTAAAATAGACAACAAAGTAGACCTTAAAACAACCTCAGATGGCTTTGGGATTTACTTAAACTCTACATATCGGACTTGTCATGTTGTTCATTATTATTTGTTAGTTTGTAGGCAACGGAGCTCGTCTTGTACTCTCCTGAAAAACACAAAAAAAAATTTTTTTTTTGATCAACACAAAATTGTTCTTCGGTCTAAATTTTCCGTTTGTGATTTCCGTGTACATTGTTTGTGGCGGAAACTGTTGCAAAATTTCGCAGGCTCACATTGCTCATCGAGTCGGTTCTAAATTTTCAGTACTAGTCGAATTTGTTAAATGCACGTTATGAATAAAATTCGGTTGTTTCTTGTGAGATCTATCTGCCAGCGCCGTCTGCCGGCCATCAGTAGCTTGCGCCACTCATCAGGATGCGCAGACGTGTCACGAGGTGGCAAGGGTCTGGTCGTGGGGCTGTACCTGAAGGAGGGCGACAAGGATCCCAAACTTACGCCCAGTGGTGAGAAGTTCAACGACCGTGTTAACGGAAAGCTGTCAGAGTTGATATGCGAGACCACGATATCGGGCCGACTGGGTCGCGGCAAAGTCTTCAATAATATTGACCCCGACTATCGTTGTGTGGCTGTCGTCGGCCTTGGCCTTGAGGGCATTGGTTTCAACGAGCTGGAAATGCTGGACGAGGGCATGGAAAATGTACGCGTTGCTGCCGGCATTGGAGCACGGTCGCTGCAGGAGCAGGGTTGCTCGGAGGTGCATGTCGATGGCATGGACTATGCCGAACAGGCTGCGGAAGGTGCCACCTTGGCTGTCTGGCGTTACGTGGACATGATTGCCAAAAAGAATCGACCGATTATACCCAAACTTGAATTGTATGACTCGAACGATTCGGATGGCTGGACCCGAGGTGTTTTCAAGGCTGATGCCCAGAATCTGGCGAGACGATTGAGTGATGCGCCAGCCAACTGTATGACGCCCACATTGTTTGCACAGGCTGCCGTGGACGCCCTTTGCCCCTGCGGCATTACGGTCGAGATCCGCACTATGGACTGGATTGAGGGACAACGCCTACATTCATTCCTTATGATTGCCAAGGGATCCTGCGAGCCTCCAGTGCTTATGGAGATAAGCTATTGTGGTACTGCACCCGAAGACAAGCCAATTCTGTTTCTCGCCAAGGGTATTACCTTCAACTCTGGTGGCATCAATCTGCGTCATTGCAAGGGCATGGATGAGTATCGTGGCAGCATGTCTGGTGCCGCCGCCTGTGTGGCAATGATGCGTTGCTGTGCTGCCCTCTCGTTGCCTATCAATGTGTCCTGTGTGATCCCGCTGTGCGAGAACATGCCCTCAGGCATGGCCTGCAAACCTGGTGATGTCTGTACGCTGTTGAATGGCAAGTCTATGTCCATTCGTGATTTGGATAAAGCTGGTGTAGTGGTAATGGCTGATCCCCTGCTCTATGGACAACTGACCTACAAGCCACGACTGGTCGTCGATGTGGCTACCCTGGGCACGGGTGTCAAGAAAGCTTTCGGTGGCGGTGCCTCCGGCATTTTCTCCAACTCCCATTACATCTGGAAGCAGTTCCAGCGTGCAGGCTCCCTAACCGGTGATCGTGTATGGCGTCTACCTCTGTGGCTTTACTACAAACACCAAGTGACCGACGAATTGGCCTTCGATCTAAGCAACAACGGACGAGGTCTGGCCAGCTCCTGCTTGGCCGCCGCCATTCTACACGAGTTGGTGCCCTGTGTGGACTGGGCCCACATAGACACACGCGGCACGGGTCTGCTGAGCAAGTTCGGTATTATTCCCTACCTGACTGCACGTCGCATGACGGGACGACCGACCCGAACTCTCGTACAGTTCCTGTACCAAATGGCCTGTCCCGAGCACAAGTAAGGGACACAGCTCCCGTCAATTAGTTGGTTGCGTGCGTATATAGCGTCTGTTCGGATGTCCTGAATGATATAATTGTGGCGCGTGGCTGGCAAGTAGCGCAAGAAAATACTGTATTTGAATGCAATACAATTACAAAACAATGGTGTAAATACTAGTGATAACAAAAATGTGTTAAATTGATGAAAGAGTACAAATATGACTTAGAACCAGCATCAGAAACTCCTTTACTTTTAATCATCCAGCTTAATAGACAACAAGCAATCGAACCAGCGCTTTGGTAACTCTTTTTAAAGCAGCATGTCGTCCAAGGATAATAAAATCAGTTATCATAGCAGTATATTGCAACCGAGGCTGCATATTGCCCCAAATGCGGCCATTTTGCTTGGTTGGGAAGATGATTCGAATCCATTTCCAATCTGCTCCTTAGGCCATCCAGCAAACGTGCGACAGACAGACAGACAGGCTTGGTGCCAGTTCTTGTGTCAATTTGATCGCAAAATATGACAAGAAAAGTCAATTTCTTGTGCTCGACAGGCAATCGATAGATTTATGTTTCAGCCACATTTTCATCAACTGCAGCAGGATTCTCGCCTGTCGACGCATTCCGGCATCGCACAGGGCCTGCTTGGCTATCAACCAAACCACTTTCCATCAGTTTTCATTTTTAAATCTGAAACAAAATCTAAAGCAAAATCTGAAGCAAAACCTGAAGAAAAATCTGAGGCAAAGTCTGAAAAAATCTGAAGCAAAGTTTGAAGTTTTCATAAAAACTTTCAGCTATTTGGCGTGTTGTTGAACGTTGCATCGTTCTACGGAAAATTGTAGCTATTCCTTTTATTTATTTCCTTTTATTTATTTATTTAAAATATTTGCAGCACATTCTTAAGCAAATTGTTAGCCATATCTTTATTTACGTTTCTGCTCTGCTTGGACTTTTGTTACCAAAGTAGTGAGGAAGCTCAAAAAAGAAGTCAATTAGCAGCAGCGTATTCGACACGTTTGGGTAATTTTCCTAGAAAGGCGCTCAACGCCTACATTCAAGTACGACTTTAGGCACTTGGCTGAAAAAGGATATTTGCATTTACACGTCACCTGCTGCCTACCTACCGGGTGTCCTTCGACGCACCCCTCTTTGTTGACAAAATTGCTGCAGGATATTACTTTGAATTATCATAAATAACTGAGCACGGCAGCGGCAATGTATGTGTATCTGTGTGTGTGTGTGTGTATGTATGCGTGTAATACTCGTATGATGGCAAAAAGGATCAGGTGGCGTTTACACACGTACGCACGTGCCTTCAGCAGGGTAGGCTACGATGTGTGCGAGGTGTGAGTGTGTATGTGTGTGTCTTCAATAATGTGGCCTGATATGTTTATCAAGTAATCCCGTTGCCTCCTTTCCGCTGCCGAACGAGCTCATATTTTGAACTTGGCTGAAAAATATACGCACGCACGTACTATGATGTGAAGAAGGTAGAATAAAATTTGTTTATAAGTTTCCATGTTAAATTTTGCCTAAAAGTTAATGGCAATAAAGTGAAATTGCTTTCAATGAATAAATTGGGAAAAAAGGGCACGGAAGGGTTTGGGGAAATGTATAAGGTAAATGTTGCATTGGAGCAAAAGCAACGCCTTTTCATCCAGTACGCTTACATGTCCTTTTTGAAGTTTAAATAAAATGAGAAATTGTATATAAAAACTAGTCATATGTAGCAGTTTTGGAAGCTGTAATGATAATTGATCTATGTGAAATAAAATCAATAAATAAATAAAACTTTCTAAAGCCAACTTCTGCTGTAAAAGCGAAAGTTTATTCGAAATTCTGAAAGTCTTCTTTACTTTAACTGTCTATTTGGACAACTATATGTTTCGTGTATGTATTTCGGAAAGAATAGCAAACAGGATAGGAAAGGGAACAGGAAAGTGAACGAAAAAGAGACAGACTTTTTTAAATAGCTATTGATCTTAACGATTCCAATTTCTGAAATGGAAACCAAACCATTTTACAAAGTATTCTGATGGACCAGACAAATGCATACACACACACACACATGCAAATAATACGAGCATATCCCTTTCATTTGCAACGCTTGCATCGAAACTGTATATATGTACAATCGATTTTTCATATCGATGCATAACAAATACGCTATGGAATTTAATTTAAAATCTTTCCCTACTGTCCACATCAAGATGCGATTGCGGTTAATCTGCCAGACACACACACACACACACACAACCACACCATACACAGACACATACACATAAGTAGTCTGTGAGCCCGTAGGAAACACTCTTGGACTTGCATTGTATTTCCCTTCTGGGCGGAATTAAGCATTTTTGTCATTATCGGCGAACAGTGTGTATGGTTATGGATGACCACCTCGTTGGCCCCACAAGCGTGTGATTTTTGGCTCTCTCTGCACCTCGTTTCATTAAAAATTGTTTCATTGATAGCTGAATGCTTTATGTAAATCCAATCGCATTAAACCTTTATTTCATTACAATTGTCTGGCCGCGACCTAAATAAAATGAGCATAATTAATAAGCTCTGGCTTGAGCTAAGCAACGGTTTGTTTGCAAATAAGAATCGCATTCAATTACATTTCACTCTTAGCCTCCATTTTTGAAGCATGCTTATAAAAACCACTACAGCCCCATGTGCACAATGGCGAAAAGCTCGTTGAGCAAGATAGATGAATGGCAAGAAAGCCTATGCCTATGCCTACGCCTAGGCCTATGCTGCTGCCAACGGCCAAAACAACCATTCCACACATACATATATAGGTTGAGAGGAAATTGTGCGGAGGGCGGAAGAGGTGGGGGCTGGGTGTGGAAATGTTGGGGCGTTCTGGGTTTGCTTTTGCATGTGTAACTTTTTCAATTTGATTTGCTTTTGCCGCTTCTGCCGCACGTGCTGGTTGTTGGTTGTCTGTTTTCTGTTTTTCACTTGCTTTTAATTACAACGCATTTTTATTCCTCTCTGCTTTGAAACTTTAGCTACCAAAAGTTTCGAATTAGTTTCGCACACACGCAAAGGGAGAGATGCAAAGGTACGAGAGTTGGCCCCATTTACGTATTCAAATAATTTCAGCAAATATTTGCGACGTTTAAAAGTATGCCATGGCAAGTGAAATCAATAAAAATGTTTGCCTTGCATTCGTGTCGGATTCTGTTCTCAAATCAAACTCGAATGTAGGCTGGAAACATGCAGTCAACAAATTGTTGTTGCTACACAAAACTGCGGCACATTGTCGGGAAATGGTAAGATTTTCCCTACCTTAATACATATTAAAAGTATTAGCTGCCAATATTCTAAAATTAATGATTCACCAGTTTTATATTCTTGGAACAAGATAATGCCAGCCATTAAAAAACACATAAGTATGTATGTTTAGAGTTCTAAATTATTATTTTACCTTGTACCTTCTGTCTGTCATCGTTTATATTTATAATATTTGCATCATTGTTCACATGAATTGTCGAAATTATATTTAGTTAAGACGCAATTTATTGAATCTGTTTCAAAAAATGTACAAATACGAACCACACTATTTATCACTTTATGTATTTAACATCTTTATTTATTCATTAAAAACAATTTTTTCAAAGTAATCTCGTCCTGATGCAGTGTACGTGTACATTTGGCAATTTCTTTCTAATCCTCTGAAATATTTTCAATACTTGTACCACAATCTTGTCAGCACAGTGCCCCGGAGTAGCCTTTTAAATTTCTTAAAAAGCTATAAATCACACGGAATCTTATGCGTCTTGTTTTTGGCAAAATTGTCTCAAAGAACGAGATTTGTCTTTTGAGACAAAACACAAAAGTTTTCTTAGAAATGTGTTGACAGCATCATCATTGACTATTTCGAACTTTAAATTCTTTGATTTGCTTAACGTACATGTACATAAGTAAATGTTCTTGGTCGTTTTCAAAGCTTGATCCACACTTTTTAAAAATTTTATGCCATTACTAAGCAATTTTTGATATTTTTTTTTGTTCATCGAAAGTCTTTTGCAACAACAATTAGCCGAACAACTTTGTTGAATTAGTATGTCGGATGTCAAAATTGAAAAGCACTATTTTTTGTCCACAAAACACTAGCCCAAACATTTAAAAATTAAAAGATCTGTTTCTATTAATACACGCACTCTATTTTAGGCTTAAATGAAAACCGTTTTATTTGTACATAGTAAGTAGTTTTTTAAAAATGCAATTAAACTTTGGAGCGCGAGTGAGCAACGAACTGTTTTAAGCCTTCTCTACAAAGCATTTAAGACAAATACCAATACAAAAAGAAAACACGCTCTCAAGAATCCTCTAATCACCAAGGAACTTAATAATTTCCAACATTACTGGAGTGTAGAAATAATTAATATATATGAGATTATTATGGAAATATATAAATATATACATATGTACAAATATATCAAGTCAGTCTCAAGAGATGTGCGAAGATCTTTAATTACCTAATGCATTCGAATATTATAACAAGAAATATTTAACATTGCCCATCGGTTTTGGCTGAACAAAAAGTCTTCGTTCTTTGATTTTATGACATCCTCATTGAGCGATGATGCCAATTGTTTCTTTTTCATTGCTTTTACATAAATGGCGGCGTTAAATGTGATGTGACATTGGGGGCGCGATACGTGCAAACACACATGCATTAATGTAAAAGTAATCAAAAAAGAACAGAAATATTTGACGACTTCAAATTTTGTGTACATCCCATAAAGTGAAGCAAAGTGGGGAGGTAGTTGTGATTGCCGGATTGCTTATATTCCTTGGGTCTCGTTGCTACGATGTTGTTCGTATTTATTTTAAGCTTGAGCTGCCGATATATAAATATGTTAGGGATTTTTATTTATTTATTTATTTATTTTTTTGGTTGCTTACATTACTTCACTTACTTGTTACCCTTAGAAACGTTTTTGTGGCTGACGCAGTTGCTCGTAGATGCGCATTGTGAGGCCAGTCAGTGGCAGTTTGTAGGTGCTGCCAGTAGTTTCCGGACGTACGGTTAGGCTCGCCGGGGCAGAGTTACGCAAACGATTGCCAACTATGGGCAGTAGACCGCGCGTTAGACCTAACGATACTCGACAGTACATTTTGTCACAATCAAAATATTTTTGCGATTTCTTTACTAACGAAAATAATTTTGAACAAACATTTGTTTCCAGAGCTCCTTTAGACACTGGCAATGAACGTTACGTCAATGCTAACTAACACATTTTTCCTCCCATTTCTGCCATGCCATGCAAATGAACAGTGCTCCCGTAGTCTATATACTACTTGTATCTACCACGATTCGAGTGATTTCTCTGTCCATCACTCAAATGCCGGCTGCTGCTGAGCATCGGCGCATTTGGCCAAACAAACTTTGCCTGCCAATAAATCAAATTCCAATCACATCAACCTGAAAGCATTGAAGCAATCTTTTTTGTCCCCCTTTTCTCTCTCTCTCTCTCTCTCTGTCTTTTACCCCACTCGCTGGCCCCTCTTGGCCATTTATCAATCAGAGAAAGCGACCGGCTTTGCACTTCATACTGGGTGGATTTAAGTTAATATTTGACTTAATTAAAGCGCATTTAATTAAGCTCGATCGAGTGTGTTGCTGCTAAATCCGTTCGAAATACCATATACCTAGCCAAAAGAACGCCATGACTAATGCTCATACATATATACAACCCTACATATATACTTATATATATGTATGTGTGTGTGTTGGTGCTGAGCTGCCAACATTGAACCATTCTGCCAGTCCATGAGGCAGCCAGCCAACGATGCCAACGACACATTGCCAAAGGCAATAATCACAATTTAATATTCATGGTGCTCCACATAGTCAATGTATTTTCAAAGTGTCGCCCAGAGTCGCAAGCTGAAGTTGAACCAGCGGCTGCCCAAGTTTAGGTGTAGCTGTGCACCTCACAAAAATCCCATTTACAATATGAATAAAGACTTTGTTTTGCACTGCAACTTAAACTTGTGGTGACCCCGCGCTCTCTTGTGCTATTGAGAAACAAGACCGATATTTGCAGTAGTTCTAATTAGCTTCAATTCACATTGGAATGTTCTAAGCTCAAATTCATTAAAGGTAATTGGGATAATCGAAAGCTCTAATGACCAATTCTCTAATTACATGATCTGCAATTGCATTAATAGTTGGCGTTTTTTTCTATTGTTTAATATAATACTATTTGTGAAATTAATAATTGCATTGCGTTAATATGACCTTCATTTTTCTGCTTTAATATTACCTAATTATTTGGATATAACAAATATATCAATAATTAAAGTTATTTCAGCTATTAAGCTTTAAAATTTTAATATAAATTTTTTAATTTTTGAAGAGCTTTATTTGTTTCCAATAGAAAATGTATCATCCATTAATATTCAATAGTCAACAATATGTAAATAATATAAATTATAATCATTTTCAATACTTTATTAAGTTTGCAGTTATTTGGTTTATTGAAGTCATTTGTAATTTTAAATGTATATATATATAAATATATACCCCAACCGCAAGCCCAACTGCATAGCTTCTTAAAAATCTTTAGATTATGAAATATAGTATCTATGAATTATTTATTTTACTGAGACCCATGGGCACTTTTCAAAAGAAACACACAAGTATAATCTTTTCACAATATACTCATACATATTTATGGCATGGGTATCTACAGATAACAATGATATTCACATTATGACGTTGGTTGTTTGCATTATTTGTCCTGTTTTGTTTCACTGTATGTATGTGTGTGTGTGTGTGTGTGTGTGTGGGCGGGGGGGCATCTGCAAATGTTTGTTCGTTGTCATACTTTCAATAAGCAACCAAATTCAAGTTTCCCAGCTGCCATCCACATGCTCCACATACCCTTACCCTTACCCTCACCAAGGGACCGTAGCAAGCAATGTTGACACCCTTTGCTCATCAGTTATTTATCATATTGGACGCAGAAACCCCTGTGCCCAGTCCAATCCATCTCGCATGCACTCGTACTCTTTTCAACTTTGCTTTACTTCCGTTGCTAACAACGATGTCGACAACGACGACGCCAAAGTTTTGTGCCTTTTGTGTGAAGTCGCTTTTTTCACTTCCGTTTTGCGGCATGTTTTCTTCTTCTGCTGCTGCCGCCGCTGCCGCCACTGATTTCCCTTCAACGATAAGCCAACAACAATATGAGGCAGCCGTTTGGTGGTCTCTTCGCCACCCCACTGAATGGTGCTTATGCTGGTTGGGCTCTTGGTGGTGGCACCTCCCACATAGTTTCGTCGTGCACAGGAAAAAAATGGTTGCTAGTTTGATTTTACATTTTAATTGTCATTCCATGGAGTGTTGTGTATTAGAATATATTTTTGAAAATATTAATCTTAGCAAACTGCCAGTTAGTTTCCACCAAAACATTGTTTGAGCATATAAGAATATATTTTTGAAAATATCAATCTTAGCAAACAACCAATTAGTTCCCATCAAAATACTGAGTTCTATTGCGAGAGGACTTACATTTCTTTTCTTTTCATTGCAATCAAATGCTGAAGAAAAGCGTAAAATGAACTTAAATATATGGCACACTGAAATACTTACTTGAAATAATTAACTAATTTCAATTAGATTTTATTTGTTTTCTTCGATCTCACACCTTTGTTTCCTTATCAAGTTTGGAGTTCGCATCAAAAAAAAAAAAAAAAAAACGAATGTAAGAAATATTTTTGTTTGCTTCACCTTTTAAAATTAATATTTATTTTCCAATAGGATATGTTATTAACAATTTAAATAAAAAATATTACTCAGAAGCATTACTTAGTTGCTTAATAACTAATCAGTTAGCCGTTTGGTGGCAAATCACTTTTTAATCACTTTCTTAATCGCTTGCTTAATGTTTACTGAATATTTAGCTAAAACAATTGACAATCTGCATTGAATTCATACGAATTCAAATGCCTCCATTGAAACTAGTGCTTGATATCCTTATTCGAAATATATATATATATATATATATATTATATTTTCCGAATTGCAAACTGAATTACAGAATTGTGTGAAGACTACTCAATTAATTAGTGCTCTGAGTGCATATATAATTTTGCACTGATTTTTTAAAAGTTAATACGATTCGGAATCGATTCTAAGGTACCAGCTAAACGAATATGAATGTATAGTAAAGGCAGAAGCAGATTTTCGATGAACAAAATATAAATTTATATAAGTTCACATAATAATGTTATAAAATATATAAGTTAGTATTATTTAACACATTTTACAACCATTATATAAGTTCCCATCTTTCAGCAATTAAACAGAGCTTCCTGAAGGCTTTATTTGTTATTTTAGGCAAACAATATTAAATTGGAATTATTACATATTTTTTCTGTGTGCAGCTTTTTTTCGTTATGGGCGCAGCTTAGTTCAATTTTTTTCGCTCCTTCTTTTGCTGGCCATAGGCGAAATTTATGACTACTTGGCTGCCGACAGCGGCATTTACGAATTGGAAACGGTAGTTGTAGTTGTTGCTGTAGTTGTTGTACGAGTAGTTCTTGTTGTTACCACTTGTATGTGAGTGTGTGTGTGTGTGTGTGTGTGTGTGTGTGTGTGTGTTTGCCTTTGGCTTGCGGCTCTGGTTATCAGCGCATCAGCTGTTTATGCTGATTGGCGTATTAATAACAGGCTGCCTCTAACTGATTTCAACGGCATATGCCTTGAGCAGGCCCAAGTGCTCCTGAAGAAATGAAGAGGAGGGGGCCGAAGAAGAGGAAGAAGAAGAAGAAGTCATGGAATCAGGGGCTTAATGCCAACGAATACGTGCCTTGTACGGCATTTGTTCGCAGACTCAACATTTCCTTTACTGGTTATCAATTGTAGTTTTATGCCATGCGTTTATCGTTGAACTGTAAGAAATTGGGTTTTCATAAGTTTTTCTTGTGGCGGCGGGGGAGATTTTAGTTTTCTTTTATTTTGTGAATATATATATGTGTGTGTGTGTGTGTGTGAATGTGCTATGACAAAGCATTTGGCACATGGCCATTGTGTGCTTGCACAATCTCAACTAAGTTTTCGGGGCTTTGTTTAACAATACTATGACACGTGGCGGAGAAAAAAATCATGAGCTTACTGAGAGTTAATGCGGTTGCGTGTTTCCGACAACCGCACATTGGTAACAAACTATTAAGCCAACTGGATAAAGAAGTGTAGGTTCATTTCAATATATACTACTACTTCAGCTGAAGCGTACAAGGAAAATGTTAGAACTTCGAGCGAAACGTGTTTTTAAAGCCCCAATCGATTACTTAAAGGCCTCTTGCTTTGCAGAGATTTGCTGCAAAAGGCAATTTAGAATGTCTGTCTGTATTAGCCTCATATATTCGTAATGCGACTCAAAATGGTTGTTTCATTCCATCATTGTAACAAGTAATAATAATACAACTGTATTATTCAGTACATAAGCATTTTCCAAATAATGCGCAAAGTGTTGAGAGTAAGTTTTATCCAGAGTATAAATAATTAATTAAATAAAACTGAACTCCTAGTTTAAGCTCTATTTGTATTTTTCTATAAGTTTAATTTAAGTTATTGTAAATAGCAACAGTATAATTAAAATTATAAATGTATAATTAATTGTATTTAATAAGGAAAAAAGAATCATTTTCTAAGCCAAGCCGAAATAAATAAATTTGGCTAGTTTAATTTTGTTTCTTATTAGTTTTCACTTTTCAATTGGGTATGTATGGTTTATTTACTTTTATTTTATTAAATTAAATACAAACATATTGTTGAAAGCCTAAATTATTTATCAACACAATAAATTAATTTTAATGAGCTATTTTTATTTATTATTATTTATTCTTTTTTTGTCTTATTAGTTCTCAGTTTTCAATTGGGTATATGGTTTATTTACTTTGATTTTATTATTTAATTTCCATTTGCTCTGATATATTTCGTTCTTAAATTTAATTTTGTTAAATTATTTATCAATATAGTACAATCAATCAAATAATCTTAAGTAGTTATTGGCTGATCCAGAATCGTTTACCCATGTTATTTATGAGCGGTATACTATATAGTGTCTACTAGAGCTAAAATACTTTTACAAAACTAACACGTTCAAATTTTAAGAAGTTATTAAAATACTTTTTTCAGCTTTATGAAAAGCTTGAATACAA